CTGCAATTTTTCAGGCCCGGTTCCTTGGAAGAAGGGAGAAGTTATGGGAAGGCCAGCGTGGTAGAAAGAGTGTGTTCTATACAGAGGGGTTGAAGAATTGGTAGTGGGTGATTTGACTCGGACGAGTGGAGTCCGTTCCCTAGTCGGGTCGGGTCCTAAGTGATGCTTGGGGCAGACAGTGCATTGTGGTCTTTGTCCAGACGGGTTGAGGCTAATCTACTAATGAGGCTAGTCTACTAACGTGGGAATCTCATTAGATGTATCGAAAACTTCCGAAAACTGCCCTCACACGAGGTCCCGTGCATTGAGTGATCTCATCTGTGGCGTCACGAGCTGAGAGGTCGTCGAGTTGCAGAAAACACTACAAGTCTTCTAGTATTATCTTAAGCCACTGCGATATACACTCCCCAGTGGGAGGTACAGTCCAGGACCCAGCTCCTCATCCCAGATTTGCCCCGTACGGTGATCGCACCTCCCGGTGAGCGCGTAGACTGGCGGTTGCACCCATTTTGTCTTCTTTGAACTGGGAAGTTGACATGTAGTGTTGGTGACGATGAGATTCAGTTCCGCGCAGATCATGTGCCGAAAAAAAATTGACTTCGGCTGCCACTGGAACGCCTTCTCTCCGTATCGAGCAACCATGCCTTCCCTCTTGGCATGGTCTGTTTCTGCGCAGGCGTGGTAGTCACCGGTAAGCTTGCCTTTAGACGGGGAGGACAGGTAAATTTCTATAGAACTTCCCGATTGCATCGCCTTTCCTCGTGAATGTAAGGCATAGATGTTGAGGATGGTAGGACATTTGAACCCACAAAGTGCGAATCTAATGGAAATTAGGGTGTTATCTCTCGAGGAGTAGGCAGAACGAAGGCAAAGTGCCGGTTCTGGTAGCAAAGACTTCATTCAGAACAACATAGAGACAATGGATATTTAGCTTGCCCACTACAACCTATTTATAAGGCTTTGGTCCTTCTAGAATAATCCTGGTCTATAGCATGCGACGGGGGTTCTGGCCTGCCCGCTGATCTGTAGTTTCCTATGCTGCGGCCCTGGGAGACGTTTCTAGAATATTTGCACTGCACGTGTCTGCGATCGTCACGTGTGCTCAAGGCGATGGCGTGCGCGAGCGGTCTGCAGGCATGACTCAACTGGTGTGCGCTTCCGGTCGTAGGCTCTGAATGCATCGCTGCTCACGTCCCCGTAAGAGAGTAAGTTACTGATTTTGTGCAGGAGAGAAGGCAGTTTACTGACGAGATAATTTTGAATGGTGAATTGGGATCTAAACTCACGACTCCACCCCCTTCTTGTGACGGCTGATCCAGAAGTGCAGTCGTCGTTGCTCCGAGCAGTGGGCCTCGCTGAATGCGACTACGTTCACATTTAAGCTAGCCGGTACCTGTGCGAGCATAATGGTTCTCCTCTCTTGTCGGATATTCCAACCAGCTAGATTGAAAAAAGCCAAAAGGAGCAGGAAAGTTGGGACGGATCTGGAATTTCTAATATTCCGATTGTGGGTTTTTTGTCCGCCAGTCCTAATCACCCGATAGATAGTATGATTAACAGTACTGGATCAGGAAATAATTTCTGATTGGTGATGGGTCACTGTGTCCACTTCCGTCCACAATTCAGTTAATTAAGAAGGACTATTGACACTTTGACGTGGGTAAGGAAGGTAATGTCGATAGAGCTCAGATCCAGCCATCAAACCCTTATCAACCCTTATATCAACCGGAAGCGCTTCGAAAGTATCGCGACAAATTAGCCATCGTGGAACGGAAGGCTATCAACTGCCGGGGTAACTTGTTCCTACTCCATACTGAGGTTCTGACTGTAATAACTGTTTCAGAAGAAGAAGTGGTCGTTGTAACAAGAAATTTATTTGGTAGCAACAATGTTGGTTGCCCACTTTAGATACCGCTTGCCCCAAATACTGTCTTACGGGACGAGTGATATTAGTTTATATGTTTACTTTAAGGTTTAGTTTAGTTTACTTTTAGTTTGGCTAGATACCGTCAATGTTAGATAAATATACTAAACTATAATAAATAAACTAAACTAACTAAATAATAAACTAAAACTGAACTAAACTAAAACTAAAAAAACTAAAAGTAAAAGAAACCACATGGTTAGGTGTAAGGGCTATCTAAGGTGGGTGACAGATTTATTGTTACCGTTTATTGACCCAAAATGTCGAATTTTCTACAACTGCCTCTAATGATGGGTTCGATTGAGATCCGAAACGTCAGGCCAATTAACTGCTTGTTGCCGCAATCACATCTCCTTCTGAACCGTAGGTTGCCTGTTCGCTTTACTTAGGCATGATGTAATCCGACCGGCTGGACGCTGGGAAACCTTTGCCCTTCGTGAGTCGTCAGATACGGTTTCTGAACAGGTGCTTCGACAACAACATGTGGCCGAAATGGGTTTTATACAAAACCACAGGCGTTCTACAACTCACAGTCCGCTATGCTCTTCACGTTCTAAAAGGGTGAATGTCAAATGTGGGCGGCCCGGCATATTTTTTGTAATTTTAAAATATAGAATTCATT